ACAAATTACCTGCTTCTTGGGTCTGATTAGCTTCTCACACCCCGCACCCACGCAGAGCGGGTGAGTCCGGACATGGGACCCACTCCAAGAAGCTGCCAGGGTCCTCTGCACCCCCCCAGTGGGCAGGGGGTTCCCCAGGGGGAGAGGGACCACCGGGCACCCTGCACCCGACCTGTGCTGGCAAGGGGATGGGGTCAGGCGTGCCCAGAGTGGGTGCTTGGGCTCAGCATCGCCTCCCCCCTGCCAGGCCCCCGGGCGAAGGGGGAGAAGCCCCCTGGGAAGGAGCCACGGGGCAAAGCCAAGGTGCAGCACATGGACCCCCCCCAGCCGGAGCACGACTTCCTCGGCTGCATGTCCAAGTAGGTGCAGGGGGGCTGTGCGGAGACCCGGGGGGGCCTGGACGTGCCGGGCACGCCAGAGCAGATGCTCCCCCTCAGTTCCCACTGCCACAAACTCATCCTTTTTCTTTGGCGGGGGGTGGGGGGGAATTACAGGCGCTCGGGCCTTCCTCGCTGGATCCTGGCTGCCTGCCTCTTCCTCTCCATCATGGTGATGCTGTGGCTGAGCTGTGCCAGTTTGGTGACTGCCCCCGAGCAGCACGTCAAGACCCAGGTAGGGGGTGAGTGGTGCTCAGTGCAGCCCAGGGTGGGGGCCCTACAGGGGTCCCCGACACCCTGGGTCTTGCTGTCGCTGCTGGGTGAGACATGGCCAGGGTGTTTGTGGTCCCCGGCCACCATGCTGGGCTTGACAGCATGTCCGTGCTGCACGGTACGTCCCCCGGCAGCCCCACGGTGTTCCCAGTCTGGGGACAAGGGGGTCCTGTCCCCTGCTCCGGGGCTGCACGGTCCTCTCTGCCTCTCTTCCAGCCTCTGAGCATCAACGGGGACAAGGAATACTTGGAGGACTTGGACAGCCCCTGCGCCTTCCCCCTGCCGCCCGTCATCGCCGTCACCCTGTGCCCTGCGCACGGCGGCGAGGACGCGGGGCCGCTGCCCCTCAAAGTCGACCTGGACAAGACCGTCCTGTAGCTCTCCCACCCCTTCCCGTCACCTCCATGCCACCTCCCTGTCACCATCCCCATGGCATTGTCCCTGGTCCCTCTCCGCCACCCCTCCGGCTGCCCCATGTCCCCAGCTCCTGGAGGGGCATCTCTGGCTCTGGCACGGGGGGACCGGGGGTGTGATCTGGCTCGGTCCCGCTCTCCTCCCTGGGGACGGCCGCTGCGGAGGAGGCTCCCAGGAGCCGGGCAGCGGCTTTGCCTCCTCTGTAGATGTGCTGTTTGCTGGGATCCTGGTTTCCAGCGCTTGGGAGCCAAGAGAGGAGCTGCCAGAGCGGGGAGGCCGGGGGGAGCCCATCCTCGTAGCGGGGCGGTCTGTCTCCTCCCGATCGGAGCCCCCGGGGCCCCGCAGCCCTCCGGGCATGGGTCCAG